GAAAATGGACATAGTAAATAAGTATATTTATACCACTAAAATAATTAGAAAAGGAGAACAAATACAGAACCCATTAATTTCTGAAACATTAAGGATATGGCGAAAACATATTAAATATCCCGTTTATGTCCCCTTTTGGATCACCCAGATTTTAAGTCTCAAGAGAAATATGCACAATTTAAGGAGTGGAAACAAATTGGAATATATAGAATTATTGACTTATTCAATTCAGGGGAACCAGTTACTATTAGGCAAATAGAAGAGAAAACAAAGCAAATAAAAACCAATTGGCTACAAATAAAACAAGAAGTTTTGCTATTCACTTACAACAAAACCTGGCTCTCTTAAGAACATTAACTGAATTTGAACAATATTGTATCCAAATAGATAAAAATAAAAACAGAGGACTAACCTCACTAATATATAAAAGTATTATTGAAAAAGAATATGGAAAAGGCGGAGGACCTAAAACAATGTGGGAAACAAATTTAAATATTGATATACCCAAGGAAATCTGGACTGGAATATGGAATAAATATCCATATAAATCTATATCAGCAAATGTGAAAGAAATGTTTCTGAAGGTAGTGCATCGGTGCCATTTATATCCTACAAAGTTACATAGAATTAATAAAGATATATTGGATGAATGTTGGAGGAACTGTGGACAAAAAGGAACTTTGGAACATATGTGGAGTTCTTGCCCCAAGCATTCTGGCATGAGGTAATTAGATGGATAGAGACCCTGACCAATCAAAAAATAGATATGAATGAAACATTATTGTTATTTTCATTATTTACAGGGGAAAATGAGAACCTTGAAAATAATTAGTTGCAAATCTTATAGGCACCGCAAGATCTGAGATCACTAGAAATTGGAAAAATGCTCAAGATCTCTCATTACAAGCATTTATGAATCAGATATGACATACAATGTTGACGGGGAAAATGACCAATAAAGTTAGACTGTATAGAGGAGAAATAAGGCACAGTCAATTCACTGAAAATCGGATGCCTTTATTAAAATACACCAATAAAATAAATCTTGAGAAACGTGGTTTGGAAAACAATTTGGAGTATTTAGATCATTGGTCGATATTTCTTTAATATGAAATGGGAACGGTGTAAATGTGATTTTGAGAATTGTGGGGAATAGCAATTGTAAGCTTTGTATTTATTACTTGTAACATGATGGATTGTCTTTTCTTTAAAATTTAAAAAAAGCTGAAAATACACCTACACAACCAATTTCAAATTAGAAAATACGTAGTATATGTTTTCACACATGGCATTCATAATGCAATATTATAATAATTACATGTATAATATATTTATACAGTAATTATATCCTCATAAGTAATCCCTGGGCTGTGGTCTCTGCAATGTGAATCTGGACCCAGCCTTTGTAATTAGTAAACTAGCAGGGTGGCTTTTTCTGAGAATGAAATGAAAACTTTGGACTCATTCTTATCAAGCCTTTATTTTGATTATCTCCTGACCAAATAGGTGTTTTCTTATTAATTTTGACAGTTCTGAAGAGTCTGAATTCTAACTCATCTAACTGGGAGATAGACAAACTGAATAATGCTCTGAAGGTGCACAGTTTGGAACAGGATTTGGAGAAGTTAAGAGAAGAATGTAATAATCTTAGAAAAGAGCTAGAAAAACCGGCACAGAAGGTAATGCTGAATTATGGATCTTGTTACAATAATGCCAACAGAAGGCAGTTGGGTTTGTACAATTGAATATTGGTACTCTCTACAGTCCATGGAGTTTTCTTTGCAAGAGAGGCAGTGGAAGACAGGAGGGTATGGTGTGCTCTGGTCTGTGGAGTCACAAAGAGCCGGACACGACTAAAGAACAACAACTCTCCACAGACTGAGTTCAGTTTCTGACTCAGAGGTTTTTAGAATGAAAACATTGCCCAGTATTCAAAGGTCTTTTACAAACGGGACAGCTTTTGGAAATTAGTTCAGGCTTTTGCCTTTTAAACCTCAAGCTTCCATGCTATGCTCTTGATCTACTGCTGGGGATTGTCATCTCTTCCAGAAGCTGCTTGCAATGTAATGAAGGAGTGATGTTGGGCTCTGCCATTGAAGAAATGCAGTCCCAGGGAGATCCATTGCATTTGTGTTGGTCTCTAGATCCTGATTGCTCTCTCTTTTGTCTCAAGGCCTAATATAGATGGTGGGGGTGGGGGAGGATGATGCACTTTGACTAGTTGTATTCCCTAGATTATGTATGGACATTCTGGAAAGTGGAATTACCTATTTGGAAGCCAAATCCCCCCCCCTTTTTTTTTTCTCTGTGTGTAGGCCTCTGCTGAGTATCTGTACATGCTTCACAGGCTGCACCCACTCTTGCATTACATAGAAGTGTCAAGACTTACTGTGTTCCATTACAAAATCTAGTGAGCTTGAAATTTGTTTAGTTACTTATCTTGGCTAAGCAAGCTGTTCAGTGACTTTTGGTACTGTTTCCAGCAAATTTGTGAACAATCATTGATTGCCACAACTTTGTTCATCTGGGTAGGCTAACCAGCAGATAGTGGGGCTTGCTGCTTTGGTTGGTTAAAATAGTTCAGAATGTGAGTTTTTACATTCTTTTGAGCTGTAGAAACTAGCTTGCACATTTCAAGAAGCTCCACTAGATGGTGCTAGATCCAAGATGGTAACTAATGGTGCCTTTGTTATTTGGAGAGAGAATTGGCCTCCTCTTACGCTGCTCTTTAAAATTTGCTAAACTGAGCATGTAATTTGTGGTACTTGTTTATGGGTCCTGTTGATGTTTAGTAGAATCTGAGGACAATTGTTTCTTTTTGTGCTTCTTTATAGCATCTAAAATTTGATGCCGTTATTTGTGTTTTTTCTATTCAGTTTCAATAAAGTCCCATTTGGAAATGTAGTATAGCTCAAGTGATTTTACCTAGAATTAGTATAATCTTGGAAAGGCAAAGACCTATTCATTTAGGCAGACCTTTGGCAGTTAACAAACTTTTCAACAAAAGGGTTTTAGCTGATGTACTTATTTCATTTTACATAAAGTATTATAAGTGCTTTAAATAAAAAGGTTTAAAGTATTATAATTTTGTGTTAATAATGTTTAATTTTTTTGCATTTGTACCTTAATGTATGTTCATGCTATTTTTTTTAAATTATCTTCTAAGTCACTATGGGTCTTAGTTCTGGGAGATATATGGTATGTATCAGCTGTAGGTCTGATGGCAATTTTTAGAATATATATTTTAATTGCATTTTAATTATTTTGCCCTTTTATTTTGCCTTTTTATTGTATTTTAAATGCTGTAAGCCGCCCAGAGACCTTCAAGTAGTGTGGGCGGCATATAAGTTAAATAAATAAATAAATATAAATAAAATAAAGTACAGTAGAATAAGGTAGAATAGATACTAAAGGCAAAATTTAAGTTTTACTTCTGAAGTTCTGGTTCAGATTAGATAATGAAATTAGAAAAAGGTGGTGGTGGGGAGCAAAATGGATATACATGATAGTTGCTAGCTTCTGAGTAAGGGTGACAGAATTTCTCAAAAGCTGAGAGTGAAATATTTATATTTCTTTTCAGATTGACTCCCAGGAAGCAGTCTTAACAAATGGAGAGCTTGTCCAGCAGCAGGAAATTCATAGGTATGAAGATCACAATAACTTGTTTCATCTTTGTTGTAGAACTGTGGTGGACATAGTTTCCATGGTTAACCCACAGAATTTGTAGACTCCTAAAGAAGGCACTGATTTGAAGTGGGACACTGGTGGTAACCCTGTTGGTATTATGTCTTGTAAAGCAGAATTTGTGTGAGTGAGTTGCAGTCTTGCTGTCTGTCTGATGTATGCTTTTGCGTGCCCATGTTGTACAACTGGTTATGTGCTTGATTGCACATCCAGCGTATGACAAGTGGCCATTAAAGTGCAAAACCAGTTTGCACAATTGCTGTTAATGTGTGTAGGATTTCCACCATTGATTTCCTTGAATTGGGAGAGACCTGAATACAGATAGTCATGTCCTAAGGAAATCTACTTTGAGCATATTGCCATGAAGCTGCAGGGCAGGCCACAGAGCATCTAATTCTGATTTTGACACATCTTCATTGGCTTCTAGCTGTTTTATAGACTCTCTTCAGAATGGTGTTTTTATCTTTCAAAGCTCTGATTCCTAACCTGGGATCACAACTAATTTGTATAAAGTGAGTTCAACTTCCAGGAGACTGAGCCAGGGGTGAGGAATTCTGAGAGTTGCAATCTGCCATCATCTAGACACCTAACAAGGGTGCCCAGTTGGCGGCCACTGATAGAAACCTGAGGTGCTTTTTCCCATGTGGATCTGCATGTTCACACAAAAACTCTGATACTGTGATTTAGATATATCATCAGATGTAATCTGCATAGTTCACTGGTGAAGAAAAGCATTAGAAGATCGCAGCTAATTGCCTTTCCTGTCCAGTGTTTATAGCTTGAGTTCGAAAGCATGCAAATGCGAGTAGATAAATAGGGACCACCTCGGTGGGAAGGTAACAGCGTTACCTAAGTCGCACTGGCCGTGTGACCACGGAAGATTGTCTTCGGACAAACACTGGCTCTATGGCTTGGAAACGGGGATGAGCACCGCCCCGTAGAGTCAAACACGACTGGATAAAAATTGTCAAGGGGAACCTTTGCCTTTGCTTTGTGGTGAGACATCTTTAAATATATCTAGGATTTTATTCATCTATTTTTTTTTATCTTCTTAGACTATGTGAATGTCATTTCAGGTATAATTTTTTAAAAAGACGTCTTGATAACCCTTAAGTCAGAGTTCAGATGGCTTACAAGAAGGGCAAGGTTTTTCTTGTGGATCCTGCAGTTATCATTGTAATAATCAACGTTAGATATAGATACAATAAGACTTAAGGCACGTTGGAAGAGAAATTGGGGAAGGGGCTTCCGTTGCTGTTCTTGAGGGTGAGTGAGGGTGGAGTGATGCAACATGGTGCTTCCTAACCCTTATTTTATTGTATTGGTAAATTGTAAGGTTTGTCTATAGCACTGTATTGTTTGAGGCTGTTATTTTACAATGCTACAGGGGTCTGTTGCATCCCTCCCAGGCCAATCAGTGACCTTCCTCCCTCCAAAGCACCATTGTGTGATGTGTATTTATGCATGAAAGCTCCACATAGTGAGAAAAGGCATCGAGGTTGGCAAAATACCTCTTGATGTTTCCAGTTCTCAGAAATGCATTTTCTTTGTTTTCCACATGAGGGAGAAGACTTTTTATGAAGAGGTCATTTTATAGTTGTACTTTGGATTGTGCTGGGGAAGGAAAAAGAAAGAAGCAGGCATATTGGAGTATATACAGTTATGTTGTATTAACAGTATGTCTTCAATCTTGGATTCTCATCTTCATTGCTTGATAAATACTTTATGGATACCATGGATTGTTAGAAAGACAAGTTGGTTCTAGATCAGATGAAGCTCGAGCTTTCAGTAGTCTAAAGTGATTACATTGAGGCTGGCATACATTGGACATTTCATGAGAAAACAAGGTTCATTGAAAAAGCAAAGAATGCTAGGAAAGGTTTGAAGGCAGTACAAGTTAAACAAGTTTATTTGTATAGCTATAGTTGTTACAAAAGAAGTTCAAATACAGTAATATAAAATAGTTGAATACTGAAGGTAGTAGGAAAAGAGGAATACTTAGCATAAGAGATAGTGATTGAATAAAGGAAGCCAAGACCTGCACATAGAACCTTATCTGGTTCATTATTTCATAAAATAATAATGACTGTGTGCTGTCAAGTCAATTCTAAGTTATGGCAATCCTTTTCAGGGTTTTGTAGGTAGAAGGCTGTCATAATCTGAAGTGAGTTGACAGCACATAATACAGTAAAGTTCCTTCTTCTCTGGAACTATTCCAGTAGCTGTTTGGTAAGAAGGGCTATGAGTCCCTCACTCTAATACTGTACAGTGAGTTTTATTTTGAAAACATCTCTTTGGTATCAGCTTCATATGCAAATTAGATTTATTTGTAAATCCAACCATAATTCACATTGACTGTGAAAACAAGTCCACAGCTCTTTTCATACCTACAGGAAGTTCTTTGAAGTATTTATTTTAGTAAGTACCCTTTGATTTAATTTGAATGTCAGTGTTCATTTACCAAAATATTCATGTGAAATATTGGTCACTACTTGATGACACAAGGCATTCTTAAATCAAGTATTAATTTTTGCTTAAAAACAATTGGGCTCCCAGAGAGAAGGGACTAAGAGTGTTGGTAAAAAAGATTAATTTGACTTAATTCACAAGATGTGTAGCATTAAATTCTGGTTTTGCTTGTATTAAGTAATAAGAGAAATGACAAATTAGGAGGGTGTCCTACCTTTTCATATTTAACAGGAAGACATTTCTTAGGAAAAGGCAATGACACTGAAAAAAAGCAATCTTAAAGAAAATGAGATAATGATTGTGAGCTGTTGCATGTTTGTAATGAGAAAAAAGTCTGCATTTTCTTGTATGTGCTGGATATAATGGTAGCTTTGTAATCTCTGTCTGGAGTGGAAGACTTAAGTTTCCCTAAGTTGCAGGTCCCTGTTCTGACTTACTCTGTTGAGCTGGATGCAAGCCTCAACCAAATGTTTTGTCTTCAAGAGCCAAGCTGTAAATGCTGAAGAAGCAGAATTGGCAACTGTAATTTTTCACTTAAAATTTGGATAGTTAGAATATATTGGCTGGACTCCTGTTGCTTAACCTAGTAAACCACAGTAGACTAGGCCCATTGAAGCAGTGAGGATTTGGTGAGTTAGCTCCTCTATAGTTTCATTGATTCAAATGCACCTACTCTAGTTAAATTTACTACTTTAGTTGTACTAAAGTTACAATTAGAGTAGGCCCACTTGAATCAAAGCGACTTATGAAAGAGTTTATTCACCAGATCCCCACTGATTAACTGGACCTGCTTTAGTAACTTACTATACTAAGCAACAGGATTTCAGTTTGTAAATGTATCCAAATTGAATCCAGCATTAGCAAAACTAGTCTATTCAAAGTCTTGCTGCCCAGTTGGACTGTTGCCATCCTAATTGTTGTAGATTGTTGTATGACACAACAACTGAAAACTGGGCAGTATATTGTAGCAGGCAAGAGATACATAGTTCACAGGGTGGCAATAGTGAAAACAAATCAAAGGGAGATCTAAAAAACCTGACCATAATTTTGAGTGGATAGCATTCAGCATTTTAAAAAATGCTTACATAACTCTGAAGCTAAAAAGCTAAGATTATCTAGAAGCCAACAGTTGTGTGTACTGAAAACCAGTTGTTAGCGTAAACTCTGGAGCTGAAGATACAATTGTTACCTATATGGTGTAACTTAATATCCTTACCTATTGTGTACTTCTCTTTCTTGGTATTGTTATTATTGGGTCAATGGAGATACACTTCATCACCTCATCTGAAATGCAAGTCTCTCCCTCTGCATTGACTTGGATGCAGTCATGTCTTTCTTAAGATGAATGGAAGCAATGTTTTTTGTATTTATGAGCCCACTCTTCACAACAGTAGTGTGAGGGAACCTCTTTGCAGTGCAGCTCCCTGTAATGAGTTGATAAAATGTCTTTCACAGATTTAGATGCCACGAAAATCTTGTAAGGAAGTCACAATGCATCCATTTTGTAAACACAGAGACCTGTTTCTAGTGAAAAAAGACAAGTTACATGGGGACCGATTCAAATAATGTGTTGTTTGAACTCCTACAAATAATGTGTTGTGTGCCACCATCTGCTGTTTGTTCAAGGTATGGTGGCAGGAATAAATGAGTGCACTGTTTTATTTTTGTAGACATTCTGACAGTTGATAATTGCATTTTCACTGAAGCTAGATATTCTACAATATGGGGATAAAGCTTTCTTTTCTATGTAGGTTTTGGAATGCTAAGCACTCACTCAGACTTTGTGAATTACAAGGGGGGCCTGCAACATTGTGTTGGAAGGCAACCCCATTTTCTAGGAGTAGAGTTCCTGTTCAAGTTAGAGTAACAGCTCAATTACTTCCATAGGTCAAAAGGAAACATAATGACCAATGTACAGTACCCGCGAATGTTCAGCCCTGGTGGACAGGTCTCTGTCTGTCTCTTGTGACTTTGCCCCTGTGTGTGCACTTGACTCTCACACACTCCTCTCGCAGGGTTCCGTTGCAGCTGGAACCAAAGGGGTTGAACATGATGGCTGTGCAGAGGAGGAGGAAAGCTGTGTGGAGGAAGGTGGGGTTGCAAAAAAATGTACACACACGTGTGGCTTAGGGGCAACCTTGATAAAGATGAGTGTTTGACATGCAAGAAGAACTGGGAACTTTCTCCTTCAAGGAATGGCTAAAGTATTTTTAGTCCTTTTCATATAAGATAAATATACGTATACAGAGAAATCTTTCCATTTCACTTTGACATCAATGATTGTACCATGCCATTTAGATAAAAGACTTGTAATCCTTAGGTTATATATCTTTTTTAGCAAAATGGACACTGAGAAGAAACAGCTAGTAGTGATGCCCCTATGAGATTAATATATATGCAAATAGATTTTTTTTTAAAAAAATGCTTGAAGGTTTTTACTAGCTTTCTCTTACTGCTGCTTTGGGAAATTTTCAGTAAATGACTAGCAGTTACAGGTATTGAGAAGCCAGTTGAAATACTAACACTGAAAACATATTTTCAGTGAAAATGCTCAGCAAGCCTACTGGGAACTGAAGAAGGAAATGTCTAACCTGCATCTGGTAACTGAATTGCAAGCTGAAATACTGCGGAAAATGCAGCAGATCCCATCTGCGACCAAGAAAGGCAAGTAAAAGTTTATAAGAAGAGTGCTTAAATGAAACTACACCACTGACCTGAACAGTGCAAATTTAAAGTTCAGCTCACTATTATATTTTATCCTTAGCAATTAAAGCTAAGCCCCATTTTTATTCTAGCTCAAACCTGCCCATTTTCTGTCTTGACTTCTGTCTCGTACTGGTCAACCTCACACGTGGAGGTGTTGCTGAGTTGTTGGTGGTGTTTTTTTAAATGCTGTATTCTCTTCCCTTGTGGCTTTTCCCCTCAGTCAAGTGTTACTTATTTGTACGAGGGTGAGGTGTTAAGTTTAGTTGTATTTGACCTTTTATCACAACTCCTTCGTATTAAAAAAAGAGAGAACCCACCAAAGTGCATTTCATTTTTAAATGCCTCTGCCTTTAAGTATTGAACTTAAAAAGCATGTAAACACCAAAAACCCAAACCAAAAAAACTGTGCCTGGTATGTAATTTTTCTTTTTCTTAACCACTTACTGTGATAATTCACTGATCCGGAGGGTCATTTCGTACGTAGTGAACTGTCTGTGTAGAAGGAATTCTGAAAATTAGATGTTCTTGCTTTCTTACTTGAAACCTCCCTTTAGATCTTCTGTAGTTTAGATAACCAGCTTTCTCTTCAGCATTCAGGTGGTCTAGGAATGTGGAATATCTGGCTTTTTAGATATTATTGGACTTCAATTTCTATGATTTCTCACCATTGCCTCTGAAGCCTAGGACTTATGGGGCTTTCAGTCCAATGGCATCTGAAGAGCCACAAGTTTCCCCCATGAATGCAGGCTGTAAGTTGTTTCATTAAATTTGTGGCCATATCAAGCACACTTTTGTTTAAATATCTGCCTGCTTGTTTAGTTATAAAGCGGAGGTGGCAATTTACTTTTTAGCACCAGGTAAAAAATAAGGTGTGGTAGGTCCTCCCTGCTACTTTGTGCCTTAATACTGTAAGACGGGACAGGGTTGCTTTTGGCTTTCCAGATAAGCAAGAAGAGACTTACTCCTTCTATTTTCTATTCTAGATACCACATTTAATGAGATTAGATTTAGCTCTGTCATGTGCAATGTTCTTTTCTTTGCTCGTGAAAGGTTAACCATGCGATTCTGAAAGTCTTGAAGAACAGTTGGGTCCAATGTTCCCTTTAAGGCGTGCAGTGCTGCATCGGGTGCATGCAGCCAAGCCAGTGTTTCCATCCATTTGCTTCCAGTTGTGGCTGTAATCCCATGTGCAAGGGGCGGAGCTTCCGTGCAGCACTCCAGAAAATTAGAGAGAACATTGGTTGAATCACTGTAATGCAAGATAAGGGGAAAGGAGCTAAAGACTGTCTTGGCCTACCTCCATTGATGTTATTGTGGTAGCACAAGGTCTGCTGTTTACCAAATGCTTGGTATGCAATCCTGGTTCTGCAGAACATGTAGCTGTGCAACCACTTGCACAACAGAGTAATTCAGTATAACTATTAGTGGAGGTAGTCGGTCTGCTTGTGTTTAGTTGGATTTAGGTTGTCACTAATGATGAGGGTTTTTTGTTCTTAAATACAATGAGTAAATATATGCTTTCTAATTTTTACTTGAATGTTTTTTTTATTGTAGTGGACAACTAAGAATACTTGGTTATTTCCACAGTGTCCCCCTACGCCCGACTTCAAGGCATTGAAGACCTTGCAAGGGATACCACAAATCTACATTTAGCTGCTTCTGGAACAGTATGCAACAAGAGGCTACCTCCACCAAGTGACAGAGTTTTCGGCAATACTGGCTCTTCTCCATCTTGTACTGATGAGAGTCTTGTCCCAGTTTGTGACTCTCCATTTCAGGAACATAACTCCTATGGAAAAAGCTCTCTGGATGACAATTCTTGGGTCTTTCCAAGTCCTCCAAAACCTAGTGAAACAATGTTTTGGGAAATGAGAAACCGAATGTCGCATTTAAACTTTCCAGAAACTAGTTTGGATCAGTGCAACCAAAACTGCCTGCATAAGAGTTAAGATTGTTACAGGAACAATTTGATATAGTTCTGAATAGGCAGGTATATAACCAGAAAATAGGTATTGGGAAGATGGAGTATGAAATTGTGGCAGTCAGCTGGGTCTGCCTCTTCTACTGTGATGTAAATTTGAAAGCAGTCCAGTGAAATCAAAAGGGGTGGCGTAAGATGAAAAGCCTGCTGCACATGGGTCCTTGGCTTGGATTGCACATATGGCGATTACTAGAGTATTAGGTCTTGAAGTAAACCAAGAGTTTTGCACTGCAGCTATTTGTGTGAATAGCTGCTTTGAAATACAGTATCTGCAGACGTTTTTGCAAACATGAGAATGCTCTTTTTGTTTTTGATGGTCTTTATGTAGTCTTTTCAGGTAAAAGATTTGGATGGGATGAGCTTGCACTTCCAACTCTGAAGCAATCATTGGTTTTTCAGAAGGTGTGGTGGGGATTAGGAAGGAATGGTGAACAAATTAAATTATGGTGACTACAGTTAAGCCAAACTACTAGAATTTCTTGTCTTGACTATATGTCCTCATTATTCTTACACTGAAGATTCTGATGCAGTAGAAAACTGAGAATCATAGTATGGAAATGCTCTCATCACTTCACAAGTGGTGAACGAGCTTACATGAGATTACCCTAACCAAAGTGCAGTGACTGTTTGGGTGCTTTTCTGCCAGTTACCAGAATCTGCTTGTTGTAAAATGTAAGTTCACTGACTTTGCTGTGATATAGAGAAACCTCTTGACATCTTAATATCAGCAGAAAGAACTGTAATATTTTAAAGGCATTTATTATTTCTCTGATAATACATAACTGACACCCTATACTTAGTAAGATGCACCAAGTGTCCAAAATGTTATGTATATAAGTATCTCAGTAGCCTAAAAGCTTTGGGATAATTAAGCTATAGATAATTCTTAACTATATTACTCATCAGTTGGTACTTAATATTTAGTACTAGAATCTCTTTTTCTGTATAAAGCCCCTTCATGCAAAGATGAGTGGATGTCTTCAGGGGGTTATAAGTGGGCATTTCCCCAATATTACTTTCCTGACTTGGCCATTAACATACAAAGAGAGAGAGAGATGGCTTTTCATGATGAACAGTTCTGTTTAGGACTTGATAACCACGAAGGTATGAACTGCAGACCCTTGACTTGGTGAGCTCCCTGTCCGCTGCTCATCTGAACATTCCAATGTTCAGAAATCCATTTCTTCTGCAGTTTCTGCATCCCTTCCTGACTTGCCCTTGAAATATGAATAATTAATAAGTAAAGGTTGTATTTGATGAGCAGCTCTAAAATGATTTCTGAAAAAGGCTTGCTGTGGCAGTGTGCAGATCTGTTCCTGAACAGCAGAATGATAGGACTGGTGTACTGTGAAAGGACAAGATATCTGTTTTCCCTTCTATGCATTGCATTTTATTTCAGCTCTGGCTGTTTTATTCTTTGTCTCTTCCTGGAGGTAATACAGTCTGTGGTGAAAGAAAAACAGGATGTATCCTACTCTTTTAGTGAATGGCATACATAAATAATGTACATACCATTCACCAGATGCTTTTATTATTATTATTATTTTGGATCTTGCTCACGTATCCTGGCTTGTCTGTGATTAATGGAAATGCTGTCAGATGCTGGAATTTATTCTGACCAATGAACACAGCTGACTCAAGGGAGCACAATCTCCTGAAGAATAATAGAACAAAATCCAATATGCATAAAATAAATCTAAGTCACTACACTTTAGCTCAAAGAACCAACTACCTGTGTAATAACAAAGCAGCAGAAGCTGTTTCTCATGTGAGTACATAGCTCTGATGGGTTTCTCAGGGCTGCTGCTTTCGTTAGAGGACTGGATAAGTAACCATTGTCCAGGACACGGTGCTGCTTAACATTTTAAGCAATGTACAAAGAATTTATCTTGTTTTAAAATAAATTATTTTTCTTTGAAAATGGCTTTCAATAAACTGAAGTAAAGTATTTCTGGACTCATTTGGACAACATCTTGGTTGCAAATGCTGCATCTATAACTGCAAAATGCAGGTGTGGCTGTTCACCATTTAGTGCATAATTCTTCATCTAGGCAATCTTGTGGTTTTATTTTAATTGCCAAGATTCTGGACTGAAAACCTGAAAGGGTTCTCGGAGGTGAATGGTAAAAGCAAACCAAAATCAACAAAATCACAGTATTCAGAAACCCATTCCCAATCAGGAGGACAGTTCTATTTTATGGACAGTCATGACATATCAACCTGCTCAGTTTCCCAGAATGACATGCACTGAGATTGTTACTCTCTTTCCTGCCTTCCCATTCTGAACATTTTAAATTCCAGTCTGGACATTAGAATTTAACATAGTGAAGAAACACTGATTGCATAGTTTTTTAATTGCAGTGGGAGATGGCAGTACATGGGACTGGGATATATTATGAAGAAGAATATGTGGTTTTTAGTAATCTGTTTTTGTATTCTTTTTGCTTTCCATTGATGCTCCTCCACTCCAAATGTTTGTGTTTGAAGTTACTAAGAAATTGATGGGTTCTCAAAACAGAAAAGGCTAACATTTGGCTTCTGTCCCTTTAAATATTTTCCTTTTTAAAGAAAAGCCTTGCTACTGTGGGCTGTTGACTTGACATATCATAAAAAGGGACATCTTTTGTATACACAAATCCAGCCAGTTTGATCAATACGAAAGTATGTGTGAAAGCTGGAAATTCCCAGAAGTGCTGAGAGTGATGCCTCTGCAAATGGGCAAGTTGCAGGATTGAAAAACAACAACAAACCAATCACTTAGGAAACTTTTTGAGCTGAATATCATTTAGTTTATAGCTCTGATATACTTTGTTTATCTTTTAATCTAAAAAAACATTTGCATTAACACAAATAGCATATAAAGGAATATTTTCATGGGGAGAAAAACAAGCTGAATGTTAAATACTTTGGAAATTTATAATTTCATATATTTTGGAACTGGATCAGGAGAGCAAAAATGAAATCACAGGAAGCCACTTTCATTTTTGTTAATTCTCTCATTCATGGAAGAGGATTTCTTCAATGCTTTAATAGTAATTAACGTTACAAATTAAATTCTGCTAACTCAGTGGTTCCCAATTTTCTTCAAGCTGCAACCCCTTTTTATATAACACACATTGTCATTGTAAGTATATACATAGTATACACATACAACGAAATTCACATAGACACGAGACCCGCATGCACACACATAAAAAAATCCCCAAACACTCCCCACCCACTAAAAATCCTCCACTAAGAACACAACCATCTGTACCGTAGGCTAAGTAACACTGTCCAACTGTTCACTGCTAATGGTCTTTAAGTTCATTATTAAGTGCAATTATAGCTCTGGGATAAAAACTTCAGAAAATGTGTGGTCTGAGTCTTAATTGTTCTGTATCTTCTGCCAGACGGCAACAGTTCAAAGAAGTTGTGAGCTGGATAGGAAAAGTTTCTAAGGATGTTGTGTGACTTCCTCAGAGAGTGGGATGTGAAGATGTCATCTAGGGTTGATAGCTGGAGCCCGATGATATTCTGGGTAATTTTAATTGTTCTCTGTAGAGCTTTTTTTGTCCACTACAGAGCTGCGCCCAAACCATACAAGAATGCCATAGGTTAGGATACTCTCAATGGTGTTACAATAGGACAAATAAATGCTGAGATAAATTTAACTTCCTGAGCATTCTCAGGAAATGCAGCCTCTTCTGTGCCTTCTTCACTAGCATGTTGGCATTTATAGTCCATGAGAGGTCCTCTGAGATGTAAGTGTCCAGAAATTTAAAACTACCAACCCTCTCCACTTCCTCGCCTTTTATATACAGTGTGGCAAATGTACATTTCTCTTCCTCCTAAAATCAACTGAGTTCCTTAGTTGTTGTTTTTTTTGATGTTAAGATTATTTTTAATGCTAAATTATTTTCTTTATACCAGAATATCAACCCTTGTACTTCCTTTCTGTAAGCAGACTCATTGTTCTTATTTAAGAGCCCCACCACTGT